CAAATATTACTCAGTTACACAATTTAAGTGTTTAATATTGAGGCAAAGGATAAACACTGAAGAGACAGAGAACAATAAGTGTAACTGAATGTGAGATTAACATACAGCAAGTGTGCTTGCTGTTGGGAAATTGGACACTAGCTGAGAAGACACATCTAGGGGAAAATCACACATGCACTCAATAGCTCTTTCACCTTTTCATCTCTATTTGTGTTACCAGTGTATTTGAAAGAAAATGGGGGAGATCATAAAAAGCTTTGGAAATAACACTAATATTCCTATCCTGAATCTCAATATGTTATTATTTCTGTAACTGTTTACTTTCAAAATGTATTTGTAATATCTAAGACATGCAAAATATAAAGAATAATGTAATGAATATCCACACCTCTCAGATAAGCAAATGAAGTACTACCATACTAATGTCTCTATATAACTATTCCAGTCACATCATCCTCCCTCTCTGCCTTCTGTGACTCTTTAAAAAAAAATTTTTTTTTACATTTATTTATTTTTGAGAGACAGAGACAGAGCATAAGCAGGGGTGGGGCAGAGAGAGAGGAAGACACAGAATCCAAAGCAGGCTCCAGGCTCTGAGCTGTCAGCAAAGAGCCCAATGCGGGGCTCGAACCCATGAACCATGAGATCATGATCTGAGCTGAATCGGATGCTTAACCAACTGAGCCACCCAGGCACACCCCTTCTGTGACTCTTGATCATGACTTCAAGCCCCACGTTTGGCACAGTGTTTAATTAAAGAGAAAAATAAAAAAGGAATAGTATCCAGCAATAAAAAGAAACAAATATTGGGGCACCTGGGTGGTTCAGTCGGTTAAGAATCCAACTCTTGATTTTGTCTCAAGTCATGAGATTGTGGTTCATGAGATTGAACCTCGAGTCATGTTCTGTGCAGCACAGAGCCTGCTTGGGATTCTCTCCCTTTCTCCCTTTCTCTCTGCCCCTCCCCTGCTCACATGTTCACTCCCTTGCTCTCTCAAAAAAATAAATAAATAAACACTTAATAATAATAAAGGAATGAGGGGCACCTGGGTGTCTCAGTTAGTTAAGCATCAAACTTTAGCTCAGATCATGATCTTACACTTTGTGAGTTCAAGCTCCATGTCGGGCTCTGTGCTGACAGCTCAGAGCCTGGAGCCTCCTTTGGATTCTGTTTCTCGCCCTCTCTCTCTCTCTCTCTCTTCCCCCCCCTTCCTCCCTCAAAAATAATGTGTATTTATTTTTGAGAGAGCACAAGTGGGGAAGGGGCAGAGAGAGAGAGCAGGGGACAGGCAGAGAGCGAGACAGAACCTGAAGCAAGCTCCAGGATCTGAGCTGCCAGAAAGAGACCAATGTGGGACTCGAACCCACAAACTGGGAGAGCATGACCTGAGTCGAAGTTGGACACAGCCAACTGAGCCACCCAGGCATCCCAAAATAAACATTAAAAAAAAAAAATTAAGGAGTATCTATACACAACAATTTATATGGATCTCAAGGAGATTATACTGAGTGAAAACAGCCAATCTCTAAATGTTACATACTGTAGGATTCCACTTACATAATGCTCTCTGTCTCTCTCTCTTTTTTTTTAAGAGAGGGAAAGTGCAAGCAGGAGAGGGGGCAGAGGAAGAGAGAGAATCTTAAGCAGGCTCCATGCTCAGTGCAGACCCTGGGATCATGACCTGAGCTGAAGTGAAGAGTCAGATGCTCAACCAACTGGACCACCCAGCACCTCCATAATACTCTTGAAATGACAAAATTAAAAAGGTAGAGATCCATTTAATGATTACCTAGGGTTTGGTGGTGGTAAGGGATAGAAAATGAGGTGATTATGACTATAAAAGGGGAGCACAAGAGATGCCTGTGATGGAACTGTTCTGTATCTTGACCGGTGGTGGTCACATGAATCAGTACAAGTGATAATATTGCATAGAACCAAATACACATGCATACACACACACAATTGTATGTAAAACTGGTAAAATCTGAATAAGATTGGTAGATTGTGCCAATATCGATTTCTTGTTTATGACACTGAACTATGGTTATGCATGGATTTATCATTGGGAGGAACTGGGTGAATACAGAGATGTTTGTGATCTCTCTGTATTATTTCCTGTAACTCTATGTGATCCTATAATTATTTCAAAATAAAAAGTTAAAAACAATTATGCTGAATAAACAAGGCCTAATCCAAACACTACTTTTTATATAATTCCATTTATAGAGGTCCTAGAAGAGGCAAAACTAATCCATGATAGAAAAAATGACAGAATGATGGTTATTTTCCAGGCACAGTTTTGTCTTGATAGGGATATGGGTTGCAGTGGTGTATGCTATTAAAGAGAAGACTTACAGGCCCCATTTTTAACAAGATTTGTCAAATCTTGTGCTAAGCCCCGTGTCGCCAAACTGAGGCTTAAATACGGTTTTGGCTCTCCTAGAAATGGAATTGCCTGTTCAGCACTACTTAAGTAATCTGCCTGATACACTCCTGCCATCCCCTAAAGGAAAGTAAGGTTGCAATAACCAACTCTTTTTTTTTTTTTTTTTGCCTAAAATAACTTCCTTGTTCACTCTCCCTCTGGCTATAAAAGCCTTTCATTTTGTATAGCAACTCAGAGCTCCTTTGTATCTATGGGATTGGATGCTTCCCAATTCAAATAGATTTTTGCTCAAATAAACACTTAAAATTTTTAATATGCCACAGTTTATCTTTTAACAATGTTTATATTGGAACACAAGGAATGGTACAGTTAAGATATTCACATCTCTTTGCAAGATATTTACATCTCTTTGTAGTTAGTGATATGCTGAAGTTGCATATCATGTGAAGTATATATATTCATATATTAATGATATGCAGGCCGAAGTATTTTGGGGGAAATGTACTAATGTCTGCATCATGCATGTCTTTGTAATGCATCAAAAGAGACAGGTTGTGGGGCGCCTGGTTGGCTTGGTCAGTTGAGCATCCAACTCTTGATTTTGGCACATATCATAATCCCAGGGTTATGGGATCAAGCCCCACATTGGGCTCTGTGTTGAGCATGGAGCCTGTTTGGGATTCTCTCTATCTCCCTCTTTCCCCTCTCCATAGCTTGTGCTCTCTCTCGCTAAAAAAAATAAAAAAATAAAAAATAAATAAATAAAAACAGGTTGATAGATATTTGATAAAATCAGTTTTATTATTTATTTTATTATGTGGTGGAGTGGGTTTATGGATACTCACTGTAAATTCTTTTCAACTTTTTTGTCTGAAAAAATTTTGTTTTTTTAAAATTTTTGAGAGAGAGAGAGAGAGACAGCGTGAGAAGGGGAGGGTAAGAGAGAGAGGGAAACACAGAATCCGAAACAGGCTCCAGGCTCTGAGCTAGCTGTCAGCACAGAGCCCGATGCGGGGCTCGAACCCACAAACCGTAAGACGGTGACCTGAGCTGAAGTCAGCCGCCCAACCAACTGAGCCACCCAGGCGCCCCTGAAAAAATATTTTTTACCTTTTATTTAAGTAATCTCTCCACCTCAGATGGGGCTTGAACTCATGAAGATCAAGAGTGTGTAACGTACTATTCCGTGGGGTGCCTGGGTGGCTCAGTCAGTTATGCATCCAACTCCTAGTTTCAGCTCAAGTCATCTCACAGGTCGTGAAGTTTGAGCCCTGTGCTGACAGGATAGAGCCTGCTTGGAATTCTCTCTCTCCTTTCTCTGAAACTCTCCTGCTTGCTCTCTCTTGCGTATTTTCTTTCAAACTAAATAAATTAAATATATATATTTATATATATATTAAAAGAAAAAAAAGTCACATGCTCTTCCAACTGAGCCAGCCAGGTGCCCCTTGTCTGAAAAATTTCTTAATAAAATATTGAAAAAAAGAACTAGTTGATTTTTTTTTAAAGCGTATTCATTTATTTTGAGAGACATAGAGAGGAGAGACAGAATCCCAAGCAGACTCCATAGAGCCCAATGCAGGGCTCAATTCCACGAACTGTGAGTTCATGACCTGAGCCAAAATCAAGAGTCTGAAGCTTAACTGACCCACCCAGGTACCCCATTAGTTGATATTTTTTATGCAAAAGTTCTAATTTAGGTCACAAAAGCAGTTTGGATACACTTAATATATATAATTCAGGCTACATTATAATAAACATTTGTCCCCCTAACCAAATATGATTATGTATCATTTTTTAAAATGTTTTGTTTACTTTTGAGAGAGAGATAGAGACAGCATGAGCAGGGGAGGGTCAGAGAGAGAGGAAGATACAGAATCTGAAACAGGCTCCAAGCTCTGAGCTAGCTGTCAGCTCAAAGCCTGACATGGGGCTCAAACCCACGAACCGTGAGATCATGACCTGAGCTAAATCGGACGCTTAACTGACTAAGCCACCCAGGCGCCCCGATTATATATCATTTTTAAATGTGTTAAATAACAATCCTACTTTTTTATACATAAACGAGTTTTATCGCTTGTTATGAAAAATGTGAAATTTGTGTCTTAAGAATGTTAATAATCGTTTAATACAAACTATCTAGATTTTAAAATCCTTTCCTCTTATACTCAAGGATGTTATTAATATTTTATTGCCAGAAATGAGACATCTCTAGCCCACAGCTTAATTATAATCACTTAGAACTACATAAATCAACATAATGACTTTACTATTTGTTCCAGGAAATTCTTGCCCACAAGGAGGCTGTCAATCAGTACATAACTTAATTGTTAGCTTTAAATTTTCCTGAAAATCCATTTATCTGAATAGGTTGCTCATCTGGGTAAAAAGCTTCCTTTTAAAGTACTGACAAGTTGAACTGATCGCTCAATTGGCAAATCTCCTTCCTTACCATAAAAAGGGATCTAATCAAGTCCGTCATCTTGCTCAGTCCACCAGTCTTAAACTATTATCATATTCAATACCAGGGAGATACCCACAGACGAATTAAAAAAGCCACCGTAAGCCACTCCAACCAAAACTCCAAAACCTTATAAAAATCACTCTTGACCTCCTCTCTGAGACACTACTAAGATTTTGTCAAAATCGTGTTCTTCTTTAATGCAGGAAGAAATTTGGTTTTACTCTACCAGGTTGTTCTGGTGGTCTTTTGCGAGGAGGTAGCAGTAGACAATCACAGTGAAGAGACTTCACAATCAACAAAGCTGGGGAAATGTGTATGACCCACAGCAAATCTGGAGTGCTTGCAAGCCACCACTTCATTATTATTGACAATTAAAGGGTGAGATGGGAGGGCTGATGGGTGGGTCATAAAACGAAATTCCAAAGCATAAAATTGTGCAATTTGTGAAGACCGCCGAAACTTAATTGAGTTGTCCTTTGGCAGAAGCGCCACAGAGGTGAGTCATGGGATGGCAATGAGGTCGAAAGAACTGTGAGGTCAAGTTTAGTCATTAACAATAACAACACCTGTTGGCAAAACTGAGGCGCAGAGCAAGGGGTAGCGGGGACTCTATGGTCTCCAGGATCTAGAATTAGGTGCCAGGCCCCACTTTACAAGCGTCTTCCTAGAGTAATAAGAGGCTGCAGAAGGGGCCAGGCACCGTTAGGGAGAGAAGGGCGGTGCTTCAGAAGAGTAGCGCTTAGTAACTCCGACCCAAAAGCCCGCAGTCACCCCTAGGACACAAGGCCGAGGCACGGGGCTGCCCTCTCACAGCTGCCCTTACACTTTCCGTTCCAGTACATTTTACACTTGAGAGTTCCAGAGAGTCCAAAGGGGCAAGCGCTGCGGGTCTTCCTCTGAGGAGCTGCGGTGCTAATGCCCACGCTTTGCTTGCTTTCACAGGGTTGGGCTCGGCGGGCTGCCAGACCGGCTCTCTCTCCTGGACATCATGTGACATGGGGGAAGTGCCCTGCATTTCTAATCATATAAGGCTACAGCCTATAAGTTCAAAAACGGGCTTATCTCAGTCGAACCAACCGCCGGGCTCCAAGCTCTAGCTGTCCCCGAAAATCCCTCCCTTAGGAAGGGCTCCACACCACAGTCCAAGGGAAGGCGCAACCGGAAGGGGCGGGCCTCCCGCCGGACGCCGGACCTCCCGCCATCATGGTTTCTCCGGGAGTCGTTGGCATTTTCCTCCTCTCTGCTCTCCCTCTCTTGTGTCTAGAGCTCCGGCGTGGGATCCCCGATCTAGGTAACTGTTGACCCTTCCCTTCTGACGCTCGCATCCACGTAACTTTCCCATGAATGTTGCGTAGGGTTCCAGTCTCGCGACGACGTCCCCTCCGGGCAGCGCGGACTACGACTCCCAGGCTGCATAGCGCCTGCGTCTCTCATCCGGCGCCGGGGGTCCATTCCAGGGAGCGAGACTCTCCGGGCTTGGGGAAGTCGGCTTCTCTTCGCGGAGGAAGTGTGCCTCCAGTTTTGCGTGCAAGGGATCAGAAGCACAGGAACATATGTAGACACTATTTTCACAGTGTTTTGAACTCCCACAAGGAAATAGGGTGATGTGATGTGATATAGGCCTTCTGAGGAATTTAAGCAGAGATTTAAATAATACGAGCCTGGGTCAAAAACATCCTACATCAAAGGAATTGTCAAGTTGGAGAAAAAGAATGAAGAGCACTGTGGATGCATCAGGGAGACTAAGGGGGAGAGTGGTTGGAGCCAACAACATTCACTGACCACCTCTTATAAACCTAACTCTAAGTGTTGTTTGTTCATTATCTCTTCCAATCTGCATCATAACCATGGTGGGGGTGGGGTATAATCCCCATTTTACACTTGAGGAAACTGAGATTTAAGGAGGGTTATTGAAGGGGCGCCTGGCTGGCCCAGTCAGTAAAGCATGCGACTCATGACCTTGGGATGGTGAGTTCAAGCCCCACTTTGGGTGTAGGAATTACTGGATGGATGGATGCATAGATAGATAAATAAATAGTCACTGGATTCTGAGGAGAATGTTTTGGAGGGAAGCTGTAGTGGAAGCACTGAAACTCTAGCAGTAGGCAAGTAGTGATGATGGCCTGGACTAGAATGATCCAGATCATGCACAGATTTGGGATATTTACAAAGTAGAATCAACAGGATTTGTGGATGGATTAATGTTTGAGAGAGGGAAAGGAGGTATTCAAGGATAACTCCTACCTATGAAGTTCAACAACCCTAAGTACTTGATAGTGCCAGTGATAAAAGGAAAAGTGAAAGGAAAATGGTGGGCCTGGGGAGAATCAGTCCTTTTTTTGGATATATTAGTCATGGGTTTACATGCATGTCTCCCTTACTATACTCATTTCTAAAGTTTGAGACCCTGTTGAAACTTAGCTTTGTAGATTTCCTCTCTTCCTTCCCCCAAGAGGTCAGGTACTTGGAAATGTTTCTTGAAATAACTTAAAATGAAATGCTTTTTAAAAAAAATCTTCAAAGTCCTTTTAGAAGCCTCCTACTCACTCAGGCTATATTGGAATCTAACAAGACCTTTATCCGAATGATACACAGAAATGTTAAATTCACACTTATCTAGTCCAGAATTTACATGCTCCACCTCTTGTCTTTACAGCATCCACCTCTGTTCTGTTAATTTAGAATCTCTTCTACTTTGCATTAATGTTTAAGTTACTAGTCAATGAGAAGGTAGTTAAGGAGGGTTGCAGAAGGAAATCTCATAATCATCTCTGATAACAGGAAAATACACTTCTTGAAGGCAGAGACCACATCTGATTTGATTTTGTGTTCCCATCAATTATCACAATGCCTAATTTATTTATTTTTAATTTTTTTCTTTTTTAAAGTAGGGTCTATGCCCAATGGGGGGCTTAAACTCATGATCCCAAGATCAAGAGTCACATGCTATACCAATTGTGCCAGCCAGATACCCCCACAATGCCTAATTTAATAGAGCAAGCCAAAAATTCTAGAAAATGCAACTGGACTCCTAGTAGTATCTCCATCTAGTTCCTGAATTTTTTCACTTAATTAACTCCTTTCTCCTAGAAACCTCTTGGCTGTGAACTGATGGTTGTTTACTTTGGTTTCTTTCTTTTCTTTTTAAGATTTTATTTTCAAAAAAAATTTTTTGATGTTTTCATTTATTTTTGAGAGAGAGGGAGACACAGAGCATGAGCAGGGGAGGGGCATAGAGAGAGGGAGACACAGAATCTGAAACAGGCTCCAGGCTCTGAGCGAGCTGTCAGCACAGAGCCCAACACAGGACTTGAACTCATGAATCGTGAGATCATGACCTGACCTGAGCCGAAGTTGGACACTCAACCAACTGAACCACGCAAGTGCCCCTATTACTATTATTTTTTAAGTTTATTTTGTTTATTTTGAGAGTGAGGGAGAGAGTGCAAGTGGAGAAGGGGAAGAGAGAAAGAGGGAGAGAGGGAATCCCAAATAGGCTCTGTGCTGTCAACACAGGGCCTGACAAGGGACTTAAACCATGAACCAAGAGATCATGACCTAAGCCCTGATTGAGTTGGGCACCACCCAGGTGCCCCATTACTATTATTTTTTTAAAGAAATCTCTACACCTAACGTAGGGCTCAAACTTAGAACCCTGAGATCAAGAGTCACATGCTCTATAAATTGAGCCAGCCAGGAACTCCTGCTTTGCTTTCCTGATACTTGTTTTCCAAATATCCAGTAATAGTATTTAAGTCTGTTTTACAAATCACACATCCCAGTGTAACAGCTGCAGGGCTAGTTATGTGTGGTACAGTCCTTAATAGATACTAATACTTTTAGCTGGGCTGCTAATTGAATTCCTAGCTGGAAAACTAGAATTCCCAGACTCATTCATTCAACTGGGCTGTATTTTTGGACAAACATTGAAAAATGATTCCTGTCTTTTTCTACTGTGTAAAAGCCTTTATTGTCAGTACATTTTTACTTGTACTTAAAGCTAAATATTTTATTTAAAAACTTTTGGGGCGCCTGGGTGGCTTAGTCAGTTAAGAGTCCGACTTTCGCTTAGGTCATGATCTCGCGGTTCGTGGGTTCGAGCCCCGCATCGGGCTCTGTGCTGACTGCCAGCTCAGAGCCTGGAGCCTGTTTCAGTCTGTGACTCCCTCTCTCTCTGACCCTCCCCTGCTCACGCTGTCTCTCTCTCTCTCTCTCCTAGAGATAAATAAAACATTAAAAAAAAATAAAAAATAAAATAAAAACTTTTTAAATATTTATTTATTTTTGAGAGACACAGAGAGGGAGACAGAGTGTGAACAGGGGAGGGGAAGAGAGAGAGGGAGACATAGAATCTAAATCAGACTCCAGGCTCTGAGCTGTCAGCACAGACCCTGTTGTGGGGCTTGAACTCACAGACCAAGAGATCATGACCTCAGCCAAAGTTGGACGCTTAACCAACTGAGCCACCCAGGCACCACACGCCTAATTTTTTAATGCTGCTTCCTTACATTTGTTCATTTGTTGTTCCTTAAAGTGTCTTGCATATGGGCTCTTGAGAATATGGACCAAAAAAAAAAAAAAAAAAAAAAAAACCAAACCAAAACAAACTCAATTTAATAAAAAAATGTTTTACTTGAAAGTTGTAAACAAACACAAGTCTAGTTCTTTTATATTCCCATATGACATTTGCAACTTCCTTGCTTGTTTGAACAAAAAGCAGTATCATAGAACATAAATCCCATAACTCAGTTTCTTTAAGTACCAATACTCTAGGTATTTAATTACTTTTGTAATAGCCAGAGACACCCTAGATTTAATTAGGTGTTGTCTTGAACAACTCTTGAATCAACAGCTAATGCTGGCAAAAAGTTAGAGGGCAAAACAAAACAAGTTCTTTAAACAGCTTTAAATTGGGGCAGTTGGGTGGCTCAGTAGTTTGGGCATCCAACTTGGGCTCAGGTCATGAGCAGGGTGCGAGCCCCGCATTGGGCTTTGTGCTGACAGCTAGCTCAGAGCTTAGAGCCTGTTTCAGATTCTGTACTTCCCTCTCTCTCTGACCCTCCCCTGCTCACGCTGTCTCTGTCTCTCTCAGAAATAAATAAAACATTAAAAAATTGGTTTTAATAAATAAATAAAAATAAACAGCATTAAATTGCTTTTTTTTCATGGATAGCATGTATCTGAGGTTTCTTTTTTAAGTTTATTTATTTATTTTGAGAGACAGAGAGTGCACACCAGTGGGTAGGGCAGAGAGAGGGAGAGAGGATCCCAAGCAGGCTCCCCACTGTCAGCTCAGAGCCTGATACAGGCTCACAAACCGTGAGATTATGACCTGAGCTGAAACCAAAAGTTGGATGCTTAACTGACTGAGCAACCCAGTCACCTCTATATATCAGTTTTAAATGAAAAATAAAATATTTATCACAAGTGTAGTCAACTATACTTGAATAAAAATAAATATTTAAGTCTGTATATATAAATCCTTTTTTAATCATTAATTGACTACCTGCCCTGATCACATAGGTAAGATGGTTCCTCTGTACCTCTGCCTGGTGACTTTTGAGAACACCCCTGGAGGGTAGAAACCAATTTTAACCCATCTTTGTATCCGCTCCCTCCCCGTTTAGCAAATTGTGTTACACAAAGTAGGTACTTACTACATTTTTGCCCATTTAATTTCCATCTTTGTTTTATTTATTTATTTATGTATTTATTAATTTATCAAATTTACATCCAAGTTAGTTAGCATACAGTGCAACAATGATTTCAGGAGTAGATTCCTTAGTGCCCTTTACCCACTTAGCCCATCCCCCCTCCCACAACCCCTCCAGCAACCCTCTATTTGTTCTCCATATTTTTTTTTAAATTTTTAAAAAATGTTTTATTTATTTCTAGGATAGAGAGAGAGACAGCATGAGCAGGGGAGGTTCAGAGAGAGAGGGAGTCACAGACTGAAACAGGCTCCAGGCTCTGAGCTGGCAGTCAGCACAGAGCCTGACGCGGGGCTCGAACCCACGAACCGCGAGATCATGACCTAAGTGAAAGTCGGACGCTTAACCGACTAAGCCACCCAGGCGCCCCTTTTTCTCAATATTTAAAAGTCTCTTATGTTTTTTATCCTCCTTCCTGTTTTTATATTATTTTTGCTTCCCTTCCCTTATGTTTATCTGTTCTGTCTATTAAAGTCCATATGAGTAAAGTCATATGATATTTGTCTTTCTGTGACTAATTTTGCTTAGCATAATACACTCTAGTTCCATTCACACAGTTGCAAATGGCAAGATTTTGTTCATTTTGATTGCTGAGTAATACCCCATATATATATACACCACATCTTCTTTATCCATTCATCCATCAATGGATATTTGAGCTCTTTCCATACTTTGGCTATTGTTGATAGTGCTGCTATAAATATTGGGGTGCATGTGTCCCTTTGAAACAGCACACCTCTATCCCTTGGATAAATACCTAGTAGTGCGATTGCTGGGTCGTTCATCTTTGTTCTTAAAATAAGACTAAATGCTGAAATTTTACTTTTTTCTAGATAAACAGGTATGTAAATAATGATTTTATTTTCAAGTGACTGAATAAACATTGAGAAATAGGGAAGTATACAGTTGCGTAATTGAACTGTGAGAAATAGGAAGTTGTTTCAGAATGACTGTGTTTAAGTAGAACTAGAATTTAGTAGAACTGGCTCAGTCGGTAGAGTGTGTGACTGTTGATCTCAGTGTTGTGAGTTCAAGTCTCATGTTGGGTATAGAGAGTACTTAAAAAAATAAAAATAAATCTTTAGGGGTGCCTGGGTGGCTCAGTCAGTTAAGCATCTGGCTCTTGATTTCAGCTCAGATCACCATCTCATAGTTTGTGAGTTCAAGCCCTGCATCAGGCTCTTTGCTGACAGTGCAAAGCCTGCTTGGGATTCTCTCCCTCTCTCTCTCTGCCCCTACCCTACTTGCTCTCTCTCTCAAAGTAAATTAATAAACTTAAAAACATTTTTTTAAAGAATCTTTAAATGAATGAATGAACAAACTAGAATTTGACTAGATGCTAATGTTACAATGGGATAATATTATCTACTTCTCTAGACAGAGGGAAACCAGGATTTATGCATTATTGATAGTCATTATGTTTATAATGTAGCTAGTCACATGAATTATACCCATATTCATGAGACAGAAGATGTTCTAAAATTGTTTTCTGAAAACTTGTTCTGATAATAATCGACCATGATGAATTTTAGTTCACAGAGGAGAATTTGAAAAAATCATAAGATGGTTACTTAACTTTTACTATTCTTTACTACTACAAATACTCTTCTTAATGCCTTAGTATTTGTTATTAGTATCAAGGAAAGTAAGGGGAATTATACCAAAGATTTAATGAAGAGTTAACACCTATTCTTTTGAAGCTGTTTCAAAAAACAGAAATGGAAGGAAGGTTTCCAAACTCATTCTATGAGGCCAACCCTAGCTTGATTCCAAAATGAGACAAAGACTGTACTAAAAAGGACAACTACAGACCAATTTCCTTGATGAACATGGATGCAAAAATCCTCAACAAGATAGTAGCCAACCAGATCCAGCAATATATTATTCAAGTGGGATTTATACCTGGGAAACATGGCTGGTTCAGTATTCGCAAATCAATCAATGTGATAGAAAGAATAAGAACCACATGATCCTCTCAATAGATGCAGAGAAATCATTTGACAAATACAGCATCCTTTCATGATAAAAACCCTCAAAGAAGGTAGGGATAGAAGGATCATACCTCAAGATCAAAAGCCATATATGAAAGACCCACTCTAATATCCTCAATGAGGAAAAACTGAGAGCTTTCCCCTTAAAGTCAGGAACATGACAAGGATGTCTACTGTCACCACTGTTATTTAAAATAGTGTTGGAAGTCTTAACCTCAGCAATCAGACAACACAAATAACTGAAAAGCATCCAAATAGGCAAGGAGGAAGTGAAACTTTCACTCTTCACAGACAACATGATACTCTATGTAGAAAACCCAAAAGATTCCACCAAAAAACCTGCTAGAATTGATGCATGAATTCAGCCAAGTCTCAGGATATAAAATCAATGCACAGAAATCAGTTGCATTTATATACACCAAAAATGAAGCAGTGGAAAGAGTATCAAGAAATTGATCCCATTTACAATTGCACCCAAAACCATAAAATACCTAGGAATAAACCTAACCAAAGAGGTGAAAAATCTATACACTGAAAACTATTAGAAAGCTTATGAAAGAAATTGAAGAATACACCCAAAAATGGAAAAACATTCCATGCTAATGGATTGGAAGAATATTGTTAAAATGTCGATACTACGGAACGCAATCTACATGTTCAATGCAATCTCTATGATAATAACACCAGCATTCTTCAGAGAGCTAGAACAAACAATCCTAAAATTTGTATGGAACTAGAGAAGACCTCAAATAGCCAAAGCAATCCTGAAAAGGAAAAATAAGGTTGGAGGCATCACAATTCCAGACTTCAAGATGTATTACAAAGCTGTAATCATCAAGACAGTACGGTACTGGCACAAAAACAGACACTCAGATCAATGGAACAGAATAAAAAAACCCAGAAATGGACCCACAAACATATGGCCAACTAATCTTTGACAAAGCAGGAAAGAATATCCAATGGAATAAAGATAATCTCTTCAGTAAATGGTGTTGGGAAAACTGGACAGGAACTTTTAAAAGAATGAAACTGGGCCACTTTTTTATACCATACAAAAATAAACTCAAAATGGATGAAGAACCTAAATGTAACACAGGAAGCCATCAAAATCCAGAGGAGAGAGCTAGCAAAAACCTCTTGGACCTTGGCTGCAGCAATTTCTTACTCAACACATCTCTGGAGGCAAGGGAAACAAAAGCAAAAAATGAACTATTGGGACCTCATCAAAATAAAAACTTCTGCACAGTGAAGGAAACAATCAGCAAAACTAAAAGGCAACCGATAGAATGGGAGAAGATATTTGCAAATGATGTATCAGATAAAGGGTTAGAGTCCAAAATCTATAAAGAACTTATCAGATTCAATGCCCAAAAAACAAATGATCCAGTGAAGAAATGGGCAAAAGGCATGAATAGAGACACTTTTGCAAAGAAGATATCCAGATGGCTAACAGACACATGAAAAAATGCTCAATGTCACTCATCATCAGGGAAATAGAAACCAAAACCACGAGACACCTACCACCTCACACCTGTCATAATGGCTAACATTAACAACTCAGGCAACAGCAAATGTTGGCGAGCACGCAGAGAAAGAGGAACCCTTTTGCACTGCTGGTGGAAATGCAAACTGTTGCAGCCACTGTGGAACACAGTTGGAGGTTTCTCAAAAAGTTAAAAATAGAACTACCCTACGACCCAGCAATTGCACTACTAGGTATTTACCCAAAGGATACAGGTGTCCTGTTTCAAAGGGGCACATGCACCCCAATGTTTATAGCAGTGATGATGACAGTAGCCAAAGCATGGAAAGAGCCCAAATGTCCATCAACTGATGAATGGAAAAAGAATATGTGGTGTATATATACACAATGGAATACTATTCGGCAGTCAAAAATAAGGAAATCTTGCCATTTGCAACAACGTGGATGGGAACTAGAGTGTATTATGCTAAGCAAAATTAGTCAGAGAAAGACCATTATCATATGACTTCACTCATATGTGGAATTTAAGATACAAAACAGATGAACATAAGGAAAGGAAAGCAAAAATAATATAAAAACAGAGGGGGTGGGGAGTACGCCTGGGTGGTTCAGTCAGTTAAGCATCCGACTTTGGCTCAGGTCATGATCTCACGGTTCGTGGGTTCAAGCCCCACGTCAGGCTTTGTGCTGATAGCTCAGAGCCTGGAGCCTGCTTCTGATTTTGTGTCTCCCTCTCTCTGCCCCTCCACTGCTTGCTCTCTGTCTCTGTGTCTCAAAATAAAGACATAAAAAAGTTTTAAAAAAGTACAGAGAGGGGGACAAAACATAAGAGACTTTTTTAAAAAAAGTTTATTTTGAGAGAGAGAGAGATAGAGTGTGTGTGAGCAGGGAAGGCGCAGAGAGAGAGGGAGAGAATCTCAAGCCAACTCAGCACAAAGCCCAATGCAGGGCTCAAACTCACAAACTGTGAGATCATGACCTGAGCTGAAACCAAGAGTTGGATGCTTAACTGACTGAGCCACCCAGGCACCCCAAAACATAAGAGACTCTTAAATACAGAGAACAAACTGAGGGTTGGCGAGGGGTTTTGGGTGGGCGTATGGGCTAAATGGGCTAAATTGGTATGAGCACTGGGTGTTATATGGAGGGAATGAATCACTGGATTCTACTCCTGAAATCATGATTGCACTATGTGCTAACTAAGTTGTATGTAAATTTTTAAACATAATATAAATTTAATTTAATTATTTTAAAAAAGGAAAATATTTTGAATTTTAATAATTTTTTTTTTCCTTTTTAAGGAATTAAAGATCTAATTTTGCTGTGTGGCCGGATTTTCTTACTGCTTGCTCTTCTTACTTTAATTATTTCTGTGACTACCTCATGGTTTAATTCATTTAAATCTTCCCAAGTGTATCTTAAAGGTAAGTTTATTGTTTATGCTACCCTTTTATAATTTTCTACTCAAATTTCTTTCCTTTATGTATTCTAAGATATTGCATAATTAGAATCATTTACCGCTAATATGTGACATATAATTTCAGCTGATCATTACTTTAGTCTTGATTTTATTTATTTAAAATTTTTAATGTTTATTTATTATTGAGACAGAGAGAACAGAGCATGAATAGGGGAGGGGCAGAGAGAGAAGGAGACACAGAATCTGAAGCAGGCTCCAGGCTCTGAGCTGTCAGAGCCTGACGCGGGGCTTGAACCCACAAACCATGAGATCATGACCGGAGCTGAAGTCAGACACTTAACCGACTGAGCCACCCAGGCGCCTCACATTAGTCTTGATTTTTAATGGACTATAAATCCCAACATTTTTATGGGAAATTGTACATTATCCTTGTATATACATTTGAAATGATAGCATTTCTATATTGATACATTACAGATTTTCTAATTTTAAATTGTGCAGTTTCATTGCTGTTTGATGTTTATATTTTCAGTTTATAAACTATTAAGATACAACAAATGGTAATTGTATCTACCACTAATCTGGAGAGGCTTTTCAACCCAGTTTATTTTTCCTTTTACTTTGGCAGTTTTTGTTTACACACTTATCTATCTGTATAGTTAAGTGCTTACTCTTAATTTTAGGAAACCATGCTTGTTCATATTTTATGTTTGATAAGCAAAAAGTTTTACTTTAATTTTGGTAGGTAAATATTTGTCAAAGACTTTGACAGTGTTAAAAATGTTAGAAGCCTTTTAAAACAATATTGTAAGGGCACCTGGGTGGCTCAGGTCATGATCTCGCGGTTCTCAGGTTCAAGCCCTGCATCAGGTTCTGTGCTGGCAGCTCAGAGCCTGGAGCCTGATTTGGATTCTGTGTCTCCCTGTCTCTCTGCCTCTCCCCTGCTCATGCTCTGTCTCCCTCTGTCTCAAAAATAAAAATAAACTTTAAAAAAAACAACTCAATATTGTAGTTCACTTCAGAATGGATGAATCCTAAAACTAAAGCCTGCATTCTTTTTTTTTTTTTAATGTTTTTTTTTTATTTATTTCTAAGAGAGAGAGAGAGAGAGAAACAGCGTGAGCAGGGGAGGGTTAGAGAGAGAGGGAGTCACAGACTGAAACAGGCTCCAGGCTCTGAGCTGGCAGTCAGCACATAGCCGGACGTGGGGCTCGAACCCCATGATCTCGAACCCGCGAGATCATGACCTAAGCGAAAGTCGGACGCTTAACCGACTAAGCCACCCAGCCTGCATTCTTGTACCCTTCTACAAAGAAGCTTGCTAATAGTGATTTTGGTACATTCTGTTTCATCTTGCTACTTATTTAAATGTAAATAAATAACAGGAAAATGAGCAGTGTTTCATGTATAGCCCTTCCAAATTAACCATGAATATACCCATAATCCTAAAAGGTTATACTGTTCGACCCAAACATAAAAGACAATCTGGATGTTTTAGGATCTCTCAATCATAGATTTTGGAAATTGTTTTCTTCTTTTAGTAAATTATTTGGTAAATTATACTTCAAACTATCCATTGGAAAATTAAATAAGAGCATTGTAACTTTTCTTGGAAATGTTGTGTTAAGTGCATTGACATCAGAAGGATATTTACTGTATGCATTAAATGGTCAAGCAATCTATGTTTTATAAATAAGGGAAACGTGTATTTGACATAGTTTTCGTAGTTTAAATTGTACCTTTTTGTTGTTGGAGTGTACATCATTCTGGTACATTTATGGATTAATGATTTTGAGGCATAATCATCACTGAAGGCTAAAACTATTTAAGAAGTAATTAAGACCGTATAAAATTGCTTAATTATTGTCAGATTTTCTTCAAATGAGTAAAAAATCCTCTCGTTTATACAGTTTCTGTCTTCCCTAGTGTTATCAGATATTAATATACAAGACTTCACATTCATCCCAAACTTTAATCCCCCATGTTTTATAAAGATTTGCATGATGAAGTGTATTAAAACTTCAGAAGCAGTCAGTGCTCAGTGGCTTTAAGGATTAAAGCCCTTTGGGGCATCTGTTTGGCTCAGTCAGTAGAGCATGTGACTCTTGATCTTGGGGTCATGAGTTCAAGTCTCATTTTAAGTGTGGAACCTACTTAAAAAGAAAAGTATTAAAGCCCCTTAATCAACTGCTATTGATTTATTTAGAAGCTATATTCTTTGATTCAGAGTCAGAAGGGAGAGCCTGAAGATCACTAAGTCTGACTCATCACATAGCAAGTTAGTGGCCTTCTGATTTCCTATGTGGTTTGCTGCCCTGATCTTTCCTTAATAAACTTGAGGAAATATTTATTGCCAGGAGAGAAAGTTGTTGACAGAAAGGAACACTCCTATTTAAGGAGCCAGGCAGGTTAAAGGATATAGTTTCTAAGAAGATATATAATTCCTCAAGGGAATACAGTTAAATGAAATTAATTCAAATGATACTTAGTGTACCTGGAATAAAAAAGGTTATACAACAGCAAAAATCCTTTTTCTTACCATTCAGTGGATAATAACCTAATATTGGTTCAGTCATGGGAGTTTCCAAGCAAACTCCACTTTTGGAATCTATATATGTGTACGTATGGTTTGTTTGTTTGTTTGTTTTAAGTTTTGTGTGTGTGTGTGTGTGTGTGTGTGAGAGAGAGAGAGAGAGAGAGAGAGAGTTGGGGAGGAGCAGAGAGAGAAAGAGACGGAGACAGAGACAGAAGGAATCCCAGGTAGGCTCTGCACCATCAATGCAAACTTGAGGCTCAAACCCATGAACTAAGAAATCACCTGAGCCGAAACCAAGAGTTGGACGCTCAGGGACACAGGGACACAGGTGTCCCTGTATGTATTTTCTAAAGTAGGCTCCGTGCCCAAATTGGGGCTTGAACTCATGACCCTGGGATGAAGTGTCAGATGCTCTACCCACTGAGCCAGCCAGGTGCCCCTTTATTTATTTATTTTTAAAAGATTTTATTTTTGGGGGCACCTGGGTGGCTTAGTCGGTTAAGCGTCCGACTTTTGCTTAGGTCATGATCTCGCGGTTCATGGGTTCGAGCCCCGCGTCGGGCTCGGCTCTGTGCTGACTGCCAGCCCAGAGCCTGGAGCCTATTTCAGAGTCTGTATCTCCCTCTCTCTCTGACCCTCCCCTGCTCACGCTGTCTCTCTCTCTCTCCTAGAATAAAAAATAAAAATATTAAAAAAAAAAAAGATTTTATTTTTAAGTAATCTCTACATCTAACATGGGTTTTATTTATTTTTTAATGCTTTTTTATTTATTTCTGAGAGAGAGAGAGCATGAGCAGGGGAGGGCCAAAGAGAGAGGAAGACACAGAATCCGAAGCAGGCTCCAGGCTCTGAGCTGGCTGTCAGCACAGAGTCTGACGCAGGGCTCGAACCCACGAACCGTGAGATCATCACCTGAGCCGAAGTCAGACGCTTAACCGACTGAGCCACCCAGGCGCACCTAACATGGGCTTTAAAGTCACAAGCCTGAGATCAAGAGTCGCACATGGGGTGCCTGGGTGGCTCAGTCAGTTAAGCGTCCAACTTCGGCTCAGGTCATAATCTCTCAGTTCGTGAGTTCGAGCTCCACGTTGGGCTCTGTGCTGACAGCTCAGAACCTGGAGCGTGTTTCGGATTCTGTGTCTCCCTCTCTCTCTGCCCCTCCCCAGCTGATGCTCAGTCTCTCTCTCTCAAAAATAACTAAACATTAAAAAAAAAAAAAAAGAGCTGCACACTCCACTGACTGAGCTAACCAGGCACCCAGGCATGTTGCTTTGCTGTCATGTCAAGGGTGACCAAATCGCACACATGCCTATAGGGCACCGCTCTGCACTTGATGTGCAGAAATGGGCTTTCATGCCATGTCTTGGAGCAGCTGAAGCCTTAACACAAAAAACCCAATATAATCATTCTTGAAGCCTCCTCACCAAAACTGTAATATTTATTAATGTGTATGAAAGAATTTTTGTCTCAGAACAGACCTTTTCTTACGGATTTTACTTGTGGATTTCTTTGAACTGTCTACATGTACCTCATTTTCATCATTTAAAAAATACAGTCTGTTTTTTGAAGGCTTGTCTCTTCCAAAATGTTATCTACAGACCACTTTCAGAGCATTCAACTTACAATATTTGAGAATTAAAAAGAATTTTTTGTTTTGATGTCTTAGAAGAAGAAGAGAAGAATGAAAAAAAGCAAAAACTTGTCAGGAAAAAACAACAGGAGGCACAGGGCGAAAAGGTAAAGGATAATTTTTAGACAGTATATATACAGAGAATACAGAATATCTGGGGTGTTTAAAATTGAGGTCTGTTGCTTTTCCTTGTTTGTGCTCAGACTTTTTTTTAAGTTTTTTTAAAGTTTATTTAAGTTTTTTTTTTTAAGTTTATTTACTTTGACAAAGAGAGAACACACTTGCGATCGTAGGGGGTTGGGGTGCAGAGAGAGAGGAGAGAGAGAATCCCAAGGAGGCTCTGTGTTTTCAGTGCAGAGTCTGACTTGGGGCTCAAACTCACTAACTTTTGAGACCATGATCTGAGCTGAAATCAAGAGTGAGATGCTTAACTGACTAAGCCACCTAGGTGCCCCACGTGCTCGAATTTTTTAATTATTGAGATCAAATTCACATGACTTAAAAGTAACCAATTAAAAAAATTAACCAATTTAAAATGTACAATTCAGGGGCGCCTGGGTGGCTCAGTCAGTTGAGCGGCCGACTTTGGCTCAGGTCATGATCTCACCGTTCATGGGTTCGAGCCCTGCATTGGGCTCTGTACTGACAGCTAGTTCAGAGCCTGGAGCCTGTTTCAGATTCTGTGTCTTCCTCTCTCTCTGACCCTCCCCTTCTCACACACTCTCTCTCTCTCTCAGAAATAAATTTAAAAAATGTTTGGAAAATTTTAAAAAATAAGATTAAAAAATAAATAAAATAAGATGTACAATTCAGTGGCATTAGAACATTCACAGTGTTATGCAATCACTACCTCTCTCTAATCCTGAAACATTTTCTTTACCCCAAAAGAAAACCTCGTCCCTATTAAATAGTCACTTTTCCATTCCCCACTCCTACCCTCTGGCAACCACGTCTCCTTCCAGTTTGTATGGATTTGTGTATTCTGGATATTTCATATGCATGGAATCACATAATATGTGACCTTTTGTGTTTGGCTTCTTTCACTTAGCATAATGTTTTCTGGGGTTCATCCATATACCTGTATCAGTACCTCATTCATTTTTGTGGGTGAATATTTCACTATATGGACATATCAAAATTTGTTTATCGATTCATTTGCTAATGCACACTTAGGTTGTTTCCACCTTTGGGCTATTGTGAATAGTGGTGCTATGAATATTTGGACACAAGTCTTTGAGGATCTGTTTTCAGTTCTTTTGGGTATATACATAGGAGTAGAATTGTTGGGTCATCTGGTAATTCTGTGTTCCACCAAACTGTTCTCTCCACCAGCTATTCCATTTTATATTCCCACCAATTTCCCAGGGTTCCCATTTCTCACGGACATATATTATTCCCACTCCTACCTCCTTTAAAATACTCATTGTAGTGGTGCCTGGGTGGCTCAGTTGGTTAAGCGTCTGACTCTTGATTTTGGCTCAGATCTTGAGGTTCATGAGTTCAAGCCCCGTGTTCCTGCTTGAGATTTTCTCTCTCTCCCTCTCTCTCCGCCCCTCCTATGCACTTTCTTTCTCAAAATAAATAAACTTAAAAATAAATAATAAATTCTCATTGTAATGAGTATGAAGTGGTATCATATTGTGGTTTTGATTTACGTTTCCTAACAACTAATAATGCTGAGAATCTTTTCATATGCTTGTTGGAGAAATGTCTTTTGTTTTCTTATATCTTCTCCCAGAAATGTCTGTTCAAGTTCTTTGCCCATTTTTGAATTGTGTTATTTGTCTTTTTGTTTTTTTTAAAGAGTTCTTTATGTATTCTGGATCCTAGATTCTTATCAGATACATAATTTCCAAGTATGTTCTCCCTTTGTGTGGGTTGTCTTTTCATTCTTTTGATACTGTCCATTGATGCGCAAAAGTTTTGATGAAATCCAGTTATTTCTTTTGTTGTGCATGCTTTTGGCGTCCATTGCCAAATTCCATTGTCCATTGCCAGATTGAAAGCCATGAAGATTTACTTTCAAGAGTTGTATAGTTGTAGCTTTTATATTTAGGTTATTAACCCACTTTGAGTTAATTTTTGTATATGGTGTGAGATGGGGATTCAATTTCTTTCTTCATATTGTTTTGGCTATTTGGGGCTCTTTGCAATTTCATGTGAATTTGAGTTGGCTTTTCCATTTCTGTAAAAAAGGCCTTTGTGATTTTGAGAAGGATTACATCAAAATCCATAGATTACTTTGGGTAGTTTTGACATTTTATATTAAGTCTTCCTTGCTTTGTCTAGTATTGACATCTTAATGATATTAACTTTCAGCCATAAGCCTGTAATATCTTTCCACTTATTTATATCTTTAATTTCTTCCAGCAATATTTTATAGTTTTCAGTATACATAGTTTTTACCCTTTTGACTAAATTTATTTCTATATATTTTATTTTGGATGCTGCTTTAAATGTAATTGTGGTTTTCTTTTTTGACTTTTCATTGCTAGTATATAGAAATACAAACGATTTTTGTGTGTTGATCTTGTACCCGGCACTTTGTTTATTGTTTACTAGCTCTAGTGATTGCTGTGCATGGATTCTTTGGGTTTTCTATTTAAGGCAAACCTTATTTTATTGTACTTCATTTTATTGTGCTTTGCAGATACAGGGTTTTTTTGTTGTTTTTTTTTTTTTTACAAATTGAACGTTATGGCGACTCTACATCAAGCAAGTCTATTAGTGCCATTTTTTCCAATAGCATTTGCTCACTTCATGTCTCTGTGTTACATTTTGGTAATTCTTGCAATATTTCAAATGTTTTTATTATTATATTTTTATGGTAATCTGTGAATTTTTAGACAATAAAGTATTTTTTTTAAGGTATGTGCTTTTTTGTAGACATAATACTATTGCACACTTAGTAGACTACCGTATAGTATAACATAACTTTTTAAAAGTTTATTTATTTTGAGTGAGAAAGCACAAGTAGGGGAAGAGCAGAGACAAGGAGAGAGAGAAAGAACCAGCAGGGGAGGGGCAGAGAGAGACGGGAAGAGAGAGAATCCCAAGCAGGCTCTGCGCTGATAGCACAGAGCCCAATTTGGGGCTCGAGCCCATGAACCTGAGCCAAAACCAAGAGTCAGACACTTTACTGACTGACCCACCCAGGTGCCCCTACACATAACTTTTATATATACAGGGAAGCCAGAAAATTAATTCGACTTCCTCTATTGCTATATTTACTTTATTGCAAACTGAACCTGCAATATCTCCAATATATGCCTATATAAGATCATGTCATCTGTGAATAGGGATAGTTTTACTTCCTCCTTTCCAGAATTGGTGTTTATTTCTCTTTCTTGCCTATTGCTCTAGCTAAGACTTCTAGGTGGTGTTGAATAGTAGTGGTGAAGGAAGGCCTTCTTGTCTTGTTTCCTGGTCTCAGAAAGCTTTTAGTCTTACTGAATGTGATGTTAGCCATGGGATTTGTCTCATTATGTTGAGCAAGTTCCTTCCTATTCCTAGTTTCTGAGTATTTTTATCATAAAGAGTGTTGAATTTTGTCAAATGTTTTTTTTTTAATTTTTTTAAATGTTTTTATTTATTTCTAGGAGAGAGAGAGAGAGACAGCGTGAGCAAGGGAGGGTCAGAGAGAGAGGGAGTCACAGACTGAAACAGGCTCCAGGCTCTGAGCTGGCAGTCAGCACAGAGCCCGACGCGGGGCTCGAACCCACGAACCGCGAGATCATGACCTAAGCAAAAGTCGGACGCTTAACCGACTAAGCCACCCAGGTGCCCCAGTTTTTCCTTTATCAATTGAGATGACCATGTATTTTTTCCATTTGTTTTATTGATATGTATTACATTGATTGGTTTTCTTATGTTGAAACCTCTTGCATTCTTAGGATGAATCACACATGGCTGGTATATAATCCTTTCAGTCTGTTAATTGGATTCAGTTTGCTAGAATTTTGTTGAGGATTTTTGCATCTATATAAGGGATATTGGTTTGTACTACTCTAGCAGTGTCTTTGCCTGACTTTGGTATCAGGATAATGTTGACCTCATGTAATTAATCAGGAACTGTTCTTACTTATATTTTTTGGAGTTTCAGCAGGACAGTGTTAACTCTTCTTTAAAGGTTTGATAGAAGGCACCTGGGTGGCTCATTCGGTTGAGCATCCCACTTCCACTCAGGTCATGATCTCAAAGTTCGTGGGTTTGGGCCCTGCGTGCAGCTCATCACAGAGCCTGGCACCTGCTTCGGATTATGTGTCTCCCTCTCTCTGCCTTTCCTCCACTTGTGCACACATTCTCTCTCTCATAAATAAACAAACATTTAAAAATGTTTAAAGATTTGGGGCGCTTGGGTGGCTTAGTCGGTTGAGCGTCCGACTTTCGCTTAGGTCATGATCTCGCGGTTTGTAGCTTAGAGCCCCGCGTCGGGCTCTGTGCTGACTGCCAGCTCAGAGACTGGAGCCTGTTTCAGAGTCTGTGACTCCCTCTCTCTCTGACCCTCCCCTGCTCATGCTGTCTCTCTCCCTCTCTCCTAGAAATAAATAAAACATTAAAAAAAAAAACGACAGAAAAAAATGTTTAAAGATTTGATAGAATTCACCTGTAAATCTACTTTTCTTTACTGGGAGGCTTTTAATTACTGATTCAATATCTTGTTAGATATATTGAGATTTCCTGTTTCTTCCTGAGTCCGTTTAGGCAATTTATATGTTTCTAGAAGTTTATCCACTTCATCTTGGTTTTCTCATATGATGGTCTACAATTGTTCACAATATTTTTTTCTGGGGCACCTGGGTGGCTCATTTGGTTGAGTGTCCAACTCTTGACTTTGGCTCAGGCCATGATCTTGAAGTTCTTAAGTTCAAGCCCCATGTTGGGCTCTGCACTGACAGTGCAAGCCTGCTTGGGATTCTGTCTCCCTCTCTCTCTGTGCCTCCCCACCCCAAAAATAAATAAATAAACTTATAAAAACAAAGGAAACCAAAAACCCCACCAGAATCTCCATTTCTTTTAAGCCCCAAAATATTTCTACTTTACTGTGATTAAGCTATTCGTTAACACTTTTCCAAATGACTTCATGCCTTGGGCATCATGCCTTGAGCAAACAGCTTTGACTTAAAGCTCCTAGAAGCCAAGCCTCACATCCTATGCATCTTTGTATCCCTAGCTCCTAGTAAGTTTTCGTTACACTGAAAACACATTAAAATATCTAGAGGCTGACTGCCAAATAAGCATAAGCATTGAACATTTGTTTTTATCTGCTTTCGGTGTATATGCAGATTTTTAGAGAGTAATGTACAAATGGAGGATGCTGCTTTTTTGACAAAATTGAGTTAGCGTGAAAGAAAACACAATTTGTTAACGTGTTTCTTATTTACACCTTTATAGACAATGTAAGATCTTAGGAATGTTGTGGTAATAACACTTTATTTATTTGTTTGTTTGTTTATTTTAACAGGTCAGCAGATACATAGAGAATGTTCTAAAACCTCACCAGGAGATGAAATTGAGAAAACTGAAAGAGCGCTTTTATCAGATGACGGGTGAAACCTGGAAGTTAAGCAATGGTCACAAACTTGGGGTTAGAAAATGGTCTCACTTTATATTTTGAATTCTGCTACTACGTACATGCAGTATATGTATATTACATATAATGTATAAGTACATGCAATGTATAGGCATATTACATATATATACTTTTAAAATTTCAACTGGTGTTAAACCAGTCTCGTTTTTAGGAATCTTTACTGCTAATGAGTGTACATAGAGCATATTTGTGTGTCGAAGGGTCAAGTGCTTTTGGTGCCCAAAGAGCATATAACTCAGATACTTGAGAACCTCTAACATAAAGCTGTCTTTGTGAAAACTGTTGACCAATTACCATATTTTACATGAGGAAATTCAGATCTTTCCTTAAATAAGATCTCCAAGGTACTACAAGCTCACATTATACTCATTTATGTTTCTCTCTGTTTCTATAAAGCCAAATTAACCTCTGACTCTTTTTTCCTTTGGCATTAAATATGAACTTTCTCATTTGCTAGTGGAAGTTTCCAATTTAAAGGGTTTTTTTGTTTTTTACAGAGGAAAAGGGATATTTATAAAGGAGTTAAGTTTTAGGGGTGCCTGACTGGCTCAGTTGGTAAAGCATGCCACTCTTAATCTCCAGTTCATGAGTTCATGCTGCCCCAGGTTGGACCTGGAGCCTACCTAAAAAAAATTAAGTTTCAGAGTAACTAGTCACAGATTTTATATGTAAGATCATTTCTATTCCAAAGACTTTTTGGTTTTATTGCTTTCTGTTTATATTGCATCTTTTACCATCCTATAAATAAAATGATCTGGTAAAGGTAAACAGGATTCTTATCATGAAGTAGAATCAGCTGTTATTCATTTCGTAATAGTAAATATGTCATAGAACCATCAAGGGTGGGTAACAAAATTAATGTGAAAGATGTGCAGCATGAAATGTGCCTGCTCTGTGGAGTGAGTTCACCTCTGAGATGAGTTTGTCTTCTGTTCAGTTTGTCTTCTGTTTGGAAGCCTGATTTTAGCTGGCCACACCTTTTTCTGAAATGGTCACAAAGTGAATTAGTCATTCTGCCCCTTGCTTTTAGGCTATGTCTTCATGACACGAGTAGTATATATTTTAACCTAATTAGTGGGGACAACAAGAAGTCAGGGACCAGGGAGACCATTAGTATTGTTATGACTTAAGGCTTTTAGGACTGTCAACAGTGCGCGAATCAAGGGGCACCTGGGTGGTTCGGTCGGTTCAGCATCCAACTTCGGTTCAGGTCATAATCTCATGGTTTGTGAATATGAGCCCTGCATCTGGCTCTCTGGGCCTTTTCTCCCCTCTTTCTGCCCCTTCCCCACTGGTTTTTTTTTTCTCTCTCTCCCTCCCTCTCTCCCTCTCTCTCTCTCTCTTTCTGTCTCTCAATACATACATACATACATACATACTTATATACATACATATGTACACATACATACTTATATACATACATACATATGTACGTACACTTTTAACAAAAAGATGAATAAAAAAAAAAGAAGAATGTGAGAATCGGAATGTCAATTGCTGAGAAAAGGTGTAGGCGTCAGCTGATGGAGCCTGGTACTTTGCAGTCAGCCAGCCTGTTTGGCCAGTTAACTATTGAGCATCCAGATTTCTTGATTTCCATTGCTCTTGCCCCTTCCACAAGGTTTTCTTAGGATAAAGGAATGGGGAAAACACCCCCAAAATGGTGGCCATTTTAGTCTGATGAGAACTTTTACAAGTCAGTGGATGTAGAAAAGGGTATTATTTAACTAATAAGTATGTATCTGAGAATTTGACATTTAAGTTCATTATTTTGCTCAGGAAAAAGTTTTAATGGATAATATTAATAAAAAGTAATCTTTATGATTTCTGGAATAAAATCCTTTGCCTTCTAAAGTGATTAATTCAAAAGGAAGATCAGAGTTTGAATTTGAGAACTGAAATATGTTTATATGTAACAGAATACTAGGACCATATTCAGCTATGGAAGTATTTCATGGTTACATACACAGACATGTTTTTACATACATAGTCTCTTTTCATAGCTTTTTAAGGCACTGTCTTTTTTTTAAAAAAAATTTTTTTAAGGCACTGTCTTGCATCCTTTAATGAAAGGAGAAAAGAATATCATTCAGGTTTTCTTCTTTTCTACCATCCTACTGAAAAATGTGGGGATTGACTAAAATGGAAAGACCTGTCTCAGTCTTGTGTCTATCATAGGGAGCCCCAGGGTAGATAAGGGTAGTTTCTACAGGATGTTTTCTTGTCCAAGGAGATAACACTTTAAATTTCTGGACCTAATATTGTCCAAGTTTTTTTTTTTTTTTTAAGTATGCGCCACACCCAATATGAGGGTTGAACTCACAGCTCTGAGATTAAAAGTCACACACCCTGCCAACTGAGCCAGCCAGTATTTTTTACTGATTTTTTTTTCTTAACCAAAATGCCATTTTTTACTGAAATGCCATTAGGGTAAAAGAACCACTGTGAATCGAATAAAGTTTATAATAGAGACTGTTTAGAAATTGTCTGTTGTTTTTGACCAGGGTGATGAAGAGTTGGTGCTTGAAAATGGGAGTCAGACATCTTTTGAAACCTCAGATAGCAGAGAAGCAGCAAAGAGACGGAACTTGCCTAAGCCTTTAACCAAAATTTCACCATCTGCTGAACAGCCCACGCAGAAGAAGGTTCATTACCAAATGCCTACTCATGTAATTGTATCAGTGTGCCTCTGGGCAAGGTGGTATACTGAGTGAAGATTAGGGCTGGCTTTTCATCCACATGGTGTCTTCCCACTGCCTTACAAAGGGATCAGCTTCATTAAGAATCATTTTTCCTATTTGATACTAATATTAACGTTCTGAACCACAGCTGGAAGCTATGAAGATAAATGATAGGCTTACAAAATACTCAGTTCTTTTGAGGAAGTAATTTGGTTATGCAGAAATGAAAAATACAATGTTTACTATGGGAAATATTCCTACAGGTAACTAAGACATGATTAACCCATATTTACTGAGTGGCTAATATTATTTATTTTTTTAATTTAAAAAGATTTTTAAAGATTTATTTTTAACCAATCTCTATACCCACCATGGGGCTTGAACCCATAACCCCTAGATCAAGAGTTGCATGCTCCACCAATCAAGCCAGCCAAGCACCTGAGTGGCTCATATTATTAACATGGGTAATATTTTTCTCAGTAGCCCTTCTCAAGAATGGCTTAGCAACCATTCACTTTGAAATAGTGTTGAGGTTCATTATTCCTTCTGTTCTTTCAAATCTTTAATCCTTAAGTTGATTCGCATTTGGATCTTGCAAAGGTTGGAAATAAATCTCTTTGCACTGACTCTTAGGGAAAACAGGGAGGCCATATGTTCCCTGAAAATAGTTTCTAATGTGTTGCCTCTTGGTCTGAGGTTTCTTAGTTCCATAATGGAGCCTGAGGGTGGTAGCCAAGTCACTGACCTATTTCCAGCATTTCAAAAAGATCTTATGGACTAATTAAAATTCAGGATTCTTTGCTTTTTGTTACTAACACGAATCATCTCATGTTGATGGTAATTTTGGTTGACAGGTTTTGATACCAAAGGAAAATAAACGGTTTATTTGATAAAATGCAATTAATGTTGGCTAGATATGATGCTAGAAAACGTGAGTCTATAGTATTAAAAAACAAAAAGTGTCCCTGAAGGTTACATTGTTGGTAACCCTGTTGAATGAGAGAAAGTGGTCTGAACACCTAGTTTTGTAACAGATAAACAGAAATAAGGAAACATGAGTAAATCATGAAGACAACAAAGTGAATATTTGTTATCCAGTCCCCTAGAAGTGCCAGTGAAGAAAAATAAACATTTAAAGTGTGTACATGTATGAACCTAAATAACTTTGGGGTCTGTTGAACTTAATATTTATCCTCTGTTTCTTTAAATAGTATATTTTTATATAGTATCTTGGACCATCATAAAAATAAGATTCTTTTTTTTTTTTTAATGTTTTATTTATTTCTAGGAGAGAGAGAGAGAGACAGCGTGAGCAGGGGAGGGTCAGAGAGAGAGGGAGTCACAGACTGAAACAGGCTCCAGGCTCTGAGCCGGCAGTCAGCGCAGAGCCCGACGCGGGGCTCGAACCCACGAACCGCGAGACCATGACCTAAGCGAAAGTCGGATGCTTAACCGACTAAGCCACCCAGGCGCCCCCATAAAAATAAGATTCTTAAATATGCATAGATTGGTAGCTGTCATACTATATCCTGTTGTTATAATCTATTTAGCAAGAATTACCCAAAAATGTTTAGTTGAACCCTATCATATTGTACATTTTTCATACATGTATATTAAAAGATTTCATTAGGGGCACGTGGGTGGCACAGTCGGTTAAACATCCAACTCTTGTCTCACTCAGGTCATGATCTCACAGTTTGAGTTCGAGCGCCACATCAGGCTCCATGCTGATGTCAGAGGCTGCTTGGGATTCTTTTTCTCTGCCCCTCCTCCACTTGTGTGTGCGCTCACTCGCTCTCCCTCTCTCTCTCAAAATAAATAAATATTAAAGAAATTTAAAAAAATAAATAAAAGACTTCATTCAGCTTAGATGTGTCTAAACTCTAAACTAAAAGGAACTCTCTCACCGAGATTATTTTTTTTTCTTCAAAATGTTTACATTCTTCTAATACTTAATTTTCTTTAGGTTCTTGATCTACCTGAAGAACCTCCTGAAACAGCTGAAGAAGTAAGCCCATTTTTTTAACTTTAGAAATTAAATGTATTTTGTTTTATTTAACACCAAGTGGGTATATTTTGTCCCGGTTTGGGTTTAGATAGAGAAGAGAGCAGAAGTGTTTATGTGATTGTCCCATAATTAGGTCCGTTTTGAACGTGGTGTAATAGCAAATCTCTCAGCCTGTGTCCTGTTTTGGAGCCCGCCGTCTGAGCCAAGTGGGTCATAGAGCCCCCCCACCTCATCAGGCAGAGGATAGGATACATGGGCTTTTCCAAAATTCCAAAACTTTAGGTCAGCAAAGGAGTTACTTACTTTTTCTAGATTTTGTTTGTTTGTTTATTTACTTTGAGAGAGACAGAGAGCAAGCAGGGAGGGGCAGAGAAAGATGGAGACAGAGGTTCTGAAGAGGGCTCTGTACTGACCGCACTGGGCCTGATGGGGCTCAAACCCATGAACCATAAGATCATGACCTGAGCCAAATGCAGATGCTTTACTGACTGAGCCACCCAGGAACCCCAGGAGTTACTTGTTATTAAAAGAGAATCGGGGACACCTGGATGGCCCAGTCATTTGAGGGACCAACTCTTGATTTCGACTCAGGTCACAATCCCAGGGTCGCATTGTGGGATTGAGCCCCTCGCAGGTTCCCTGCTGAGCCTGGAGCCCGCTTGAGAGTCTCTCTCCGTCTGCCCCTCCCCTACATGTGCGCGTGTACACTTTCTCTCTCAAAAATAAGCAGATGACTTCAAATTGTAGTTTTCCCCTTAACAAAGAGAAAATGAAGGATGCAGCTACCGTGCAGATATTCGAATTGAAGGACGGTTTGCTGTATTGGGGGGCGGGTTCGACAGAACCTCCACTCTGTACTGAGCCACCTGCCCGGCTGCTGTGCCGCAGTCTGTGCCACCTTCCTGTGGTCGCCCAGAGGTTCAGACAGGTCTCTAATGTACTGGGAGCATGTGTCTTCTACACCGGCAAGTCCTCTAGGCAAAGGGAAGCCCTGATGGTTTTGTTTCTTAGAGCTGGGCAACTATTATACTCCTTGAAAGCCAGTGGCGAAATCTGCCACTGGGAGGGTCTTAATTTTGTCAACACACTGGCAACATTTCAGTGGAGTACTCTGGCTGTCTGAGGAAAACCTGAACGTCATACAAAAATAGAGACCATGAAGCATGCAATCCAGATACTGAACCTCCAGGAAAAACACAATGGAAGGAAGGAAGGAACTTCTCATTTCTTTCTGTTATACCCAAAAAATTCATGTCTGTGATATGTCTGTTCTGACATACACCCTTATACATTCTCACAACCATTTATAATACAGATGTAATTAAACATAGCTCACGTTTGATTGGAAGCATCTGCTTTACTCGGTCTTTAAAACGCATGACAGCGGCGCCTGGGTGGCTCAGTCGGTTAAGCATCCAACTTTGGCTCAGGTCATTATCTCACAGTTCGTGGGTTCGAGCCCCGCGACGGGCTCTGTGCTGACAGCCAGCTCAGAGCCTGGAGCCTGTTTCAGATTCTCTGTCTCCCTCTCTGTCTGACCCTCTCCTACTCACGCTGTCTCTCTCTCTCTCTCTCTCAGAAATAAATAAAACATTTTAAAAAATTAAAAAATAAATAAAACGCATGACATTATTCCTACAGAACAGAAACTTTGTCACCCAGGGTGCACGGATTATAGACATCAGGTTGTCAGTAAATGCTTGGAAGTTGTACCTTTTGTGATTGTAGGTAGATGGACACTGTTTTTCTTCAGGATCTCAGGTCTGCGACCCTAAAAAGTTAAGAAGCCTCTGTCACAGAGGCAAGCCAATACTGTTCTCGCCTTTATAAATTATTTAAAGCCATTCCATTTCATTTCCTCCCTACCCTTTTCTCATACATGATAGATAATGTATTGTTTGCTCATTAAATCTTATGTCAGAGTAACGAAACGTTAGAGCTGGACTCAACCCGAATAAACGTCTTGCCCCATCTCCTCACCTGAGGCTGAAGGCACAGGTAGAAATTGTGTCTGAGGTGCTTCTGGAGAACCCCGGCCTCCCCGGCGATAGCCTGCACTCCTCTCATTCACTCTGAGCGGCACTGTCCCTTTATTCTCTGCCCTTCTCTGGTCTTCCTCTGAATTTTTGGGCCTCTTCGCTCTGCTTTTGGTAAAGAAAGTCAACACAGTTTTGGCAAATAATCGTCACTGAAAATCACGTGTCACACGTATGCACCTTATGTATATATCGTATTAATCAGGACAAGCAACTTTTAGATTACATAGTGAAGTTTTGTCAAGAATGCCACTAATGTCAGGGCGCCTGGGTGGCTCAGTCGGTTGGGCATCCGACTTCGTCTCAGGTTGATCTCACTGTTCGTGGGTTCGAGCCCCACGTTGGACTCTGTGCTGACTGCCAGCTCAGAGCCTGGAGCCTGCTTCGGATTCTGTGTCTCCCTCTCTCTCTGACCCTCCCCTGATCGCTCACTCTCTCTCTCTCTCAGAAATAAATAAAACACTAAAAAAGTTAAAAAAAAAAAAAAAGAATGCCACTAATGTAGAATTGATTCTACTTGATACTTTACGGTATATTCTATTCTGTAGCGACTGAGAAAAGCTGTCTACAACATGACCATAGCTAATGCTGCCGTGTAACACACAGGAAGGTTGTTAAAAGAGTAAATGCTAAGAGTTCTCCTCATGAGGAAAACATTTTTTTCCTTTTTTCTTTTTTTTTCTTTTTCTTACTGTGTCTATGTAAGCACCTGTTGGAACCGTCTCACTGTATATATAAACCAAGCCACCAAGCTTACACCTTAAACTCCTACAGTGATGTATGTCAGTTATTTCTCGATAAAACTGGAGGGGGAGGAGAAAAATCAATATGAAAATACCTTGATTCTATCAGAGTCCCCATTGGGTGAGGGACTTTCTGTCTGTGCAGTGGCTGTTACTCCTAGATTTCTAAGAAGTCAATGCAGAAACCCTCAATTCCTCACCAGCCATTCACAGGCCATCAATTTTCCTTCCCTGGATGACTTTAAATGTCCTATTCCATCTTTCAGTGACGTGGACCTACCTTTGATCTCAAGCCCTGTTTCTGGGCAGTCATGGTCCCTCCAGACGTCTCTTCCTGGCTTTTCCGCTCCGTTGTAACCCACTTATTCAGACTAATGAAAACAGACCTTAAGCGCGCTGTGTCATTATCATCATAAAAGTTAAAAATAAGAAAAAGCATTTCAGTTTGGGAAGTGTGCCTCTCCAACCCATCCTCTCACCCTAATAAAGTGTTTTCAAAATAAAACTGGCATGCCTGGAGCAGGGAATGAGAGATCTACTATAATTACCCAAAGTTTTAGGATATTTGTCTTTGTAAGTTATATAGTCTCATTGTTCCTGGCTTTCTGCGAATGCTGTTTCCTATATTGTCAAGTTAACAGTTTTGCTCCGGTAGCAGTCGTTACATATCATACTGCATAGTCATCACCTATCATCATATGTAAAGCCTGCCCGTCATGACCAATATATTTGAATCCCCAAGCTACATAACTGATTTATGAGTACATATGCAAAAAAATTTCATCTTTAGGGATACTGGAAATGATGATTTTCAGGAAATTCTCTATTTCCTTATTGAAGCTAAGTCCATTAAATTCTGGTAGAACAGAGGGATATCTTTCTAATTCTGCATTGCTAGGGGAAAAAACTAACATTGATTTAAAAGGTTATTGGGGCACGTGGGTGGCTCAGTCGGTTGAACTACAACTTCAACTCAGGACATGATCTCATGGCTTTTGAATTCAAGCCCCGCGTTGGGCTCTGACAGCTCTTGGCCTGGAGCCTGCTTCAGACTCAGTGTCTCCCTCTTTCTCTGCCTCTCCCCTCCTCATGCTCAGTGTCTCTCTCTCAAAAAAGTAAACATTAAAACATTTTTTTAATAAAAGGTTATCAGAATGAGGTGGAGCTTTCACTATAGATATAGATATTTCTGTATAGGTGGTAGCTATGGCTATAATAATGAACCATGAGAAAGTTGCTATTATAGCAGAAGTCTGCTTGGATTTAGGAGTGGACTAATAGATGAGGAAACTAATGCCTCTATGGGATTTCTGATAGGGAAGAGAGGGATCTGAAACATAATTAATGCAATTGTTACTTAAGCAGTATACTCTGATTCTTTTAGTGCCTGTCTTTTTTTTTTTTTAATGTTTATTTATTTTTGAGAGAGAGAGCAAGTAGGGGAGGCATCAGAGAAAGAGGGAGACAGAGGATCTGAAGGAGGATCTGAAGCAGGCTCCTCACGGAGAGTGGAAAGCCCACTGTGGGGCTCAAACTCATAAACCGTGAAATCATGACCTGAGCCGAAGTCAGATGCTGAACCACCCAGACACCACCCAGATGCCCCTTAGTGCCTGTTATTTATTATTACAGCCATCGATAGAGTTCTAAAATAATATGGGAAAAATTTTTAAATGAGAGGAGGAAATAACTCATGGTAGTCTAGAACACAATAGAATATTTGCCATATGGGGCGCCTGGGTGGCTCAGTTGGTTGAGCGTCCAACTCTTGATCTCAGCTCAGGTCACGATCCCAGGGTTGGGCTCTGCACTGAATGTGGAGGCTGCTTGAGATTCTCTCTTTCTCCCTCTGCCCCTGCCCCCCATTCACGTTTTCTCTCTCTAAAATAAAATAAAACATGAGAATATTTACCATATATTACAGTTCTACTTTTAACTTGAAAAGACTGACCATAGAATTTAAAAGAACTTGAAAATAATTTTGTAATTCATTATATAATGTAGCCATACCACCATAGCAACTATTTTCTTTTTTTTTAAGTTTAGTATTTATTTTATTTGAGAGAGAAAGTACAGGTTGGGGAAGAGCAGAGAGAGCATGAGAGAGAGAGAATCCCCAGCAGACTCCACAAAGCAGTGTAGAGCCCGATGCAGGTCTGGAACCTACAAACCATGACCGATCATGACTCGAGATCATGACCCGAGCCGAAGTTGGACACTCAACCGATTGAGCCACCCAGGCTCCCTGCAACTATTTTCATTATTGTACACCATCTTTCATTGTAAAGAGTCCCTGGGAATTAAATTTTAGTTATTGCTACTACCTTCTTTTTTTTTTAAGATTATTTTTTTTTAGGTAATCTCTCCACCCAACTTGGGGCTTGAACTCACCACCCCAAGATCAAGAGTCACACACTCCACTGACTGAGACAGCCAGGTGCCCCTGCTGCCGCTTTTAGTTTAGCTTTCATTTAGCAATCTGTTTGGCACAGTGATTTACTTTCCAATTTGGATTGTGTCCTAGGTCTTTTACCCATTCATATGTCACTCCTCTACGCTATCAGTAACATGAGAAACGGCACAACCGATTTTCATAGTAATTGTAATAACAGAATAATTGCTAGATTTTCAAACAATGATAGTTGATTTCTCTTGAGTGTCTAGTCATAATGGAAAATGTTTATATATAATATATTTTTTATATATTATATACTATATATAATAAGGTTTTATTTTTGGTTTTTTTGGTGTTTGTTTTTTTTGTTTGTTTGTTTTGGTTTTTTTTGAGAGAAAGAGAGAAGGGCAGAGAGAGGAAAGAGAGAATCCCAAGCCGGCTCCGCACTGTCAAACTAGAGCCCGTTCGCAGGGCTCAAACTCAAGCAGTGAGATCATGACCTGAACTAAAAAGTTAGATGCTTGACCTACTGAGCCACCCAGGTGCCCCTTTAATTCAGTGTACTTGAAACTCTAGTTTCTCATAAACCATTTGGCTTAATTCTGCTTTCAGGTCGTTAACTTTTGAACAACCTGTAAAAGTTAAATTTTATCACATCTATAAACAAGCATACTTGGCTTTTAATCTGTGATTCACCTGTTTTGTGATTTTATTGTGTGTTATTATAAAACTTTTCATTAGTAGAAGTACTAACAGAGATCAGCATTGAACTGATTTGGATGTGAATCAAATACGTGACCTACTTGAATGGCAGTATTTTCTAACATGGCTTTCCTGAAGGGGTAGGTGCTGCTGTAAAACCACCATTTCTATATCCTCTGGTGCCTCCGTGACTCCCAGGACCGTTACGATAATGTTTAACCGTAAGACAGAATTTCCTGGGGGCTCTTGGGGTGGCTCAGTCAGTTAAGCGTCTGACTTTGGCTCAGGTTATGATCTCTTGGTTCATGAGTTCAGGCCCCGCATCAGGTTCTCTGTTGTCAGCTCGGAGCCAGATTCAGATACTCTGTCCCCCTCTCTCTGCAACTTCCCCTGCATCTCTCCCAAAATAAATAAACGTTAAAGAATAATAATAATAAATTAAAAAAAAGAAAGGGTTTCCTAACCAGTATATAATGGACATCAGAATAAATTATTAATTCCTTATCCTTTTTTAAAAAAATGCCTTATAGTATTAACTGGTAGTTTGTAAGCTCTTCTTAGCTATTTAACTGTTTTAACAAAGGAGAGATGGTGGGGAAACTGAATGTGTAAAGCAAATGGAGCAGCAGCTCCTCCAGGAGAGGAGTTCTTTGAGTTTCCAGCATCCAGGACCAACTCCATGCCGGTCTATCATTTGTTTGGGGGACGTGGGCATGGCGCACAGCTTACGATGATAGAGTAACTTGGGACATTTGTTTCCTTGCAACCCAGTGTTTTTCTTGTCTATAGACTCCAAGGTGGAAAGGATCTTCTTGGTTTGGTAGATAAATTTGGAAGCCCCTGTGCAGCGTTGATATTATCTGGACAGATAGAAGCATCTAGTGTCTGGTGTCCTCTCCAGGAGGCTTTGCCACTGATCTCAGTCAAGAGGAAGATGTCTCTTCCATTTCAGAAGACACTTTTATATTTCGAGTGAATTTTATCTGGACCTCCTACTCTCAGATCTAAATGCCTACAAAACCCCACACAAGCTTTTTAGAATTACAGATGTTTCACAGGAGTAGTATTCTGGAATTGCAGAGCACAGTGACTTGGAATTCTTATTCGAACATTTTTATTCCTCAGGTAGTTGCTATTGCTCTCCGATGTCCAAGTGGGAAGGTCCTGAGAAGAAGGTTTTTTAAGTCTTGCAGTTCACAGGTGAGAAATTCATATTTTCAGAAATGTTTTTGTTGAATTTGACAATAGTTTACTCCCATGCAGTGGGGGAGATATTACCTCTCCCTTGTCTGGCGCTCCCTTCGGGTAAGGGTAAAAGCCATTGATACATACTCTGTGTTGCAGAAACTTGGATAATTAAGCATGCTGGATCTTTTTTCAGTCCTCCCCTCCGCCACCCCCCAGTTCTTTTCCTATTTTTTATTTGTTGTTTTTAATTAATTACATTTTCACAGCTTGGTAGATAACATGCTTTCAAATCCTTATGAAGCAGACAGTATTAACTTGGTTCCCAATATCCCTGATAGATTATTAACCTAAGCCCTATGGCTTATACGTAATTTTCAGATCATTCTTTAGGGCTTATTTTCCTTTATTCCAGTAGATTTTTTTCTCTTAAAAACAATGCTCTGTTCGTTAGTAATAATTTGGAAAATGTGGAAAAGTGGAGAGAAAAAAGGCTTGATCTGCAGTCTTGATGCCAAGGTCAGTTGCTAATATTTTGGTGTATTTCTACTTTTAAGTGCATTTAAACATATAATTGTGCATTGTATTGAACTATAGCTAAATACTTTTCTATCCGGATTGCATTTAACCTTCTGGGATGAACATGTTATGAACTGTAATGGAAAATACTGACAGGTTCAACTGCATAAAAAATGTAACATTCTATAAAGAAAAAGTTCATAAAGTTAAATACTTGGAAAAAATATTTTACATCTGTGTATGATAGAGTCATTTCTTTAAAAAAAAATTCCTTACATTTATTTATTTTTGTTAGAGTGAGACAGAGCTTGAGCAGAGGAGGGGCAGAGAGAGAAGGAGACACAATTCTAAGCAGTCTCCAGGCTCTGAGCAAATGTTCAGCACAGAGCCCTATGCAGGGCTCGAACCCCCGAACCGAGACACCGTGACCTGAGCAGAAGTCGGACACTTAACCAACTGAGCCACCCAGGCACCCTAAAAATTTTTTATTAACGTTTATTCATTTTTGAGAGAGAGAAAAAGCGTGAGCAAAGGCAGGGGCAGAGAGAGAGAGGGAGACATAGAATCAGAATCTGAAACAGGCTCCAGGCTCCAAGCTGTCAGCACAGAGCCCAAAGTGGGACTTGAATCCACGAACCGTGAGATCATGACCTGAGACAAAGTTGGACACTCTGCCGACTAAGCCACCCAGGTGCCCCTAGAGTCATTTCTTTATAAGGAGCTAATATACAAATCAAGGAAAAGATAAATACCTCAGTAGATTAAATAAATATTTAGGATTCCTAGAGAAAAAAAAAAGTGACAGATAAAAATAGGAAAAAAATGTTTGACTTTACCTAGAATCAAAGCAGTATAAATTAAAATGGGACATAATTTTCTACCTATCAGATTGTCAAAGATTAAAAAGAAGAGTAACCTGGGCATCTGGGTGTCTCAGTCAGTTAATGGGTCAACTCCTGACCTCACGCCACTTGAGTTTGAGCCCCGGAATCAGGCTCTACGCTAACAGCATGGAGCCTGCTTCAGATCCTCTGTCTCTCTCTCTCTGTCTCTCCTCCGCTTGCACTCTCACAAAAAGTAAATAAATATTAAAAAAAGAAATGAAAAAAAAAAAAGAGTAACCCAGTTTTGACCAGTGTGTGGAGAAAATGGTGATTCTCATTAACTGTTCCTATGAATATAAATTTATAAATTGGGACACTTTTCCTATGGGATAATTTACCAGTGTAATCTTTAAAATAGATCTTTTGTTTCATTAATTTCATTTATGAGAATTCTATAGAAATAAGGTAAATGATCAAAAGAATAATGCAGGGATTGGTTGAATTAAGGTATATCCAAATACTGGAAAATTAGGAAGCTTTATGACCTAGATGTACATTTATTATGTGGAATATCAGTAGGTTCTTGGATGATGGTTAGCAAGAGAAGTCAGAGATGATCTGTAATTGATACTCCAACTTCCTTCGAGAACATTGTAGTATCCAGCTTCTTCCTAAAGCATCAAACTGTCCTTTGGCAGGCATTTTTAGGCAATAGTTAAGTGGAAGTTTTGATGGTTACTATGGAAATCCTCATAACAGGAAATGTTTTCAGCTTATAGGGATGGCCCATTGCAAATTGGGCTATCCTAAGGCAGAGTCCCTAGGGCTTCGTTATGTCTTTGGTGACAAAGTTCCTGTATGATTTTGATGTGGACTCTTGGCTTAGATTTTTGATCTAAATAATTTCTTTCCCAAACTAAACTTTTGTTCTCAACTTTTCTATACTGAATAAATGTCCCATTCCTTGTGGTTGGGACTTTCCTAGTTGTTAAATGCTGTCTATAGGTGCTTGTAGTCCCTAGGCCTTCTCTGAAACTTCCAAAAGGTACTAAGGGTTATTTGCATCTGACAATTCATGGTATGCTATTTTCCTTTAAATTCTAGAAGGTTCTGTTTTATTACTCAGTGCATGATTTAACAATGAAAGAATTGTAAAATATCATGGTGATCTAGAGGGGTACAACTATGCACAGTATTTGATAACTAAACTTTTTATCTTTTAGGTCTTATTTCACTGGATGATGAAAATCGGGTACCACACATCCATATACAGCCTTTCTACTTCCTTTCCCAGAAGGCCTCTGGAAGTGCAGGAAGGCTGGTCCCTGCAGGACATAGGAATAACTGTGGATACTGTACTCAACGTGGAAGAGAAAGACCAGAGCAACTAATTAGGAAATGAGAATGACCTGCTCTACCTAAAATCAGTTATGCCATGATCTTACAGGACAATAAAGGATTCACGTTAAAATCATGCCATACCTTGACTGAGTTCAAGGCAGTAAACACTTTAATGTTGATATCCTTGGGAACGTATGGACACAAAGGATTAGAAAAGGATTGCTCTCTGTAGATAATAGTTTTTGGAATGTGCCGTCATAATGTACCACCTAAACACTAGATAAAAATGTATACAGTAAGGCACTCCATGAGTTGTATTTTTCCTAGCTGACATCATTTATCACTATGTTGAAAAACAAAATCATATGACTTTGTTTTCTGCCTCTTCAGTCCACCTTGCCATACTGAAGTTTTCACAATTCAGTCAAAACTCTTTAAAATCCATTAAGTAGAAATGTTTGTTTTGCTGTATTTCCAGAAATGAAACTAAACATTTCAAAGGTCTTTAATGCTTTACAGTTCTTTTTGATATCCAGTAAAGGGTTAGTACCCAAAATATATAAAGAACTTATAAACTCAAATCCCAAAAAACAGATTATCCAATTAAAAATGGGCAGAAGATATGAACTGATGTTTCTCCAAAGAAGACACACAGAGGACCAACAGACACATGGAAAGATGCTTAAAATTATTCATCATCAGGGACTTGCAAATTAAAACTATAATGAGGTATCACCTCACTCCTGTCAGAATGGCTAAAATCAACAATACAGGAAACAGCAGGTGTTAGTGAGGATGTGGAGAAACGGGAACCCTCTTATGCTGTTGGTGGGAATGCAAACTGGTACAGCCACTGTGGAAAATAGTGTGGAGTTTCTTCATAACATTAAAAATCGGACTCTTATGATCCAGTAATTGCACTACTAAGTATTTAGGCAAAGAATACAAGAGTACTAATTCAAAGGGATTCATGTGCCCATATGTTTATGGCAGCATTATTTACAATAGTGAAGATACAGAAGCAGCCCAAGTGTCCATCAGTTGAAGAATGGATAAAGAAGATGTGGTATATATACACAACGGAATATCATTCAGCTATAAAAAAGATTGAAATTTTGCCCTTTGCAACAACATGGATGGAGCTAGAGAGTATAATCCTAAACAAAATAAAAGACAGATACCATATTATTTCACTCATGTAGAATTTAAGAAACAAATGAGCAAAAGGAAAAAGACAAACCAAGAAACAGATTCTTTAACTATAGAGAACAAACTGACAGTTGCCAGAGGGGAGGTAAGTGGGAAGATGGGTGAAATACGTGACAGGGATTAAGGAGTACACTTGTGATGAACACTGGGTGATTAAAATAAAAACTAAAAAAAAGGGGGGGTATTAAGGTTTTAAAAAAAAATAAAGTTCTTTTTAATAGGTATGTTTTGTTTACTTAATCAGTGTCAAAGTTTATTTCATTTCACCTTGCTTTAAATTGAAACATTGGAAGTTTGTTCAGGTGGTTCAATATTTTTAAAACTAAAACAATGAAAGCCTGCCCAAGTGACTCAGTTGAGTGTCCAACTCTTGATTTCAGCTCAGGTCACGATCCCAGAGCCATGGGATCGAGCCCCATGTCAGCCTCCATGGTAGCTTACGATTCTTTCTCTCCCTCTGTCCCTCTCCCCCACTCGTGTTCTCTCTTTAAAAATAATGAAACAATGAAAATATTAAAATACGGGTGAGTTTTTTACACTTTTTAAAGTTTATTTGATTTGAAAAAGACAGAGCGAGCAGGGGAGGGGCAGTGAGAGAGGAAGAGAGATCCCAAGCAGGCTCTGCACTGCCAGCATGGAGCCTAACGTGGGGCTCAAACCCATGAATTGCAAGATCACGACCTGAGGCAAAACCAAGAGTCAGACACTTAACCAACTGAGCCACCCAGGCACCGTTGGGTGAGTTTTTGTTTGTTTATTTTTTTTCAATGTAGCTGGTCATTTCATTTTCCTGCAATGGGATATTCATTTATGGTAATACCAAGTTACACTCTCAGGTGTGGTAAAAAGCTCCTTGTTCTGGGGACGCCTGGATGGCTCAGTTGGTCCGTCTCTTTATATCAGCTCAGGTCATGATCTCACAGTATGTGAGGTGGAGCCCCATGGTGGGCTCTGCCCTGGTGGTGCAGAGGCTGCTTGGGATTCTCTCCCTCTCTCTCTGCCCCAACCCCACTCTCTGTCTCAAAATAAAAAGTGAACATTTAAAAAAAAACTTGACTCCTCTTTAGTGCTCCTTTTACCTCTTCTGTAGAATTTATTACACTGTACTATAGGTATGTTTTTGTTTTCCCAAACATTTGGTTCATTAAAAGCAAGAATTGTATCTTTTTCTCCCTCCAGAAGTACTTAGTATACCGTATATACTTAATATATGTTTGAAAAAAATAAGTTGTCTCAACCTTTAACTTTTTTTTTTTTGGTCTCTGGAATATCCCACATTGAAAAAAAATAGAAAAAAAAAAAAAGGGTGGGTGCACCTGGGTGGCTCAGCCAGTTGAGCGTCTGATTTCAGCTCAGGTCATGATCTCACAGTTAGGTTGAGCCCCGAGTCGGGCTCTGTGCTGACAGCTCAGAACCTAGAGCCTGCTTCAGCTTCTTTGTCTCCCTCTCTCTGCCCCTCCCTTACTTGCGCTCTCTCTCAAAAATAATAAATGCTAAAAAAGTGAATAAAAGACTCATAAATTGTGAAAGGGTTTCAATTTTTTTTAATTTTTAAAAAATACTTATTTTTGAGAGACAGCATGAACAGGGGAGGTGTGGCAGAGAGAGAGGGAGACACAGAATCCAAAGCAGGCTCCAGCCTCCTAGCTGCCAGCACAGAGCCCGACGCGGGGCTCCAACCAACCCAGGAACCGTGAAATCATGACCTGAGCTGAAGTCGGATGCTCAACTGACTGAGCCACTCAGGACCAATAAAGTTTCCAAACTTTACAAAGTTATAAAAACAAAATAACCCATAATCTCAATACCCAGAAATAAGTGACTAAAATTATGGTTTTCTGTCTGTCCTGCTGGACTTTCTATGCTTATGTACAATTGATTAAAAAAGCAAGAAAGGACCCCACATTTTTGGACTCCTGGAAAAACTGATTATTGTAAAACCTAATAAGAAATTTTGCTACTTAGGAACTGTGGTAGCCGGCTCCACAATTTGTTATGTGGAAAGGGAGAACTCACACAAGAAACATTCAGGATATTTTCCCCCAACAGGTTAAAATGTCCTTCGGGTGACTGACTTGTGCTGTTCTGGTAGATGCTTCGGTCTCTGTGGCTGGTAATATGTCTTAATTAGGGTTCCTTTCAAAGAGTCAATAAGCTTCCACTATTCTTTGAAATAGACTCAAGTGCAGATGGAAATAAATAGAAAATGAACAAATATTTCCATATTTACCTGTTCTGATCACAGACTTTCATAGACTCTATTTTCAGTTGTCCTTCCTCATCCATTTCCAAGGATACGGACTATAGAAAATATTATCTTTTAAAAAATCTTTGCTCTCTTTTAAAAAGCCAAAATTTTAGCAATTAGCAAATGGTCTTTAAAAGCTGTGGCATAAAGTTTCCTCCTGTCTCCCCAATTTCGAATACAAACATCATTAGGGACATTTCTTTGCATAGCAATATATTTTTCTTTAAGCAAAGAGAAAACACTATTAGTTGATGGACAGCTGTAATGCTAATGATAGATGGTTATTTGTTTCCTTGGTTACAAAGCTAATTTCTTCCCCTGGAAGGACACATGCCTTGAATCCTTAGATTCTTGGTTAATAATACTGTTCTTTTATACTATAGTCCTTTTGCAAGGAAAAATTAGAAACATAATTAAGGAATTATTTTTAGGTATGATGGTGATGTGGTTAGGTGAGAAAGAAAAGAATCTTTATCTCTAAAGATCTATGCTGCAATATAATAGGAATTATATTAGGTAATTCTAATTTATTATATTAGGTAACCTCTAATAAATAGGTAAAAATCTGCTTCACAATATGGGGAGAGAACAGTAGGTGGGAATATAGCTGAATAAATATTTAAGCTAAATAAAAGATATATTGGAGTAGCTTAAACTCATTTCTTTTTTTTTTTTTTAATGTTTTATTTATTTCCAGGAGAGAGAGAGAGAGAGAGGCAGCGTGAGCAGGGGAGGGTCAGAGAGAGAGGGAGTCACAGACCGAAACAGGCTCCAGGCTCCGAGCTGGCAGTCAGCACAGAGCCCGACGCGGGGCTCGAACCCACGAACCGCGAGATCATGACCCGAGCGAAAGTCGGACGCTCAACCGACTAAGCCACCCAGGCGCCCCAGCTTAAACTCATTTCTAATTCTGTATAATTTCCACAATAAACTATTTAATGATATCAACAGGCTTAAGATTTTTTAAAAAGGGGACAGACTTATAAGTTTGCCAAGTGATTTATGAGAAAGCTGTGACTTAAAATAGCTTTAGATTAAAAAAAAAAAAGCTTCAGAGAAAACTAACTTGAATCCTGTTTCAATTTAGTTTGTTTATTATTGTTTTTAATATACTTCAGTGAAGGAATGAAGTTGAAAAACTTTAAAAAGACCTACAAGTTAAGTATACTAAAGAATATTCTGAGTGTTTTTTATTAAAAAATTTTTTGAATGTTTATTTATTTTTGAGAGAGAGAGAGAGAGACAAATGTGAGCAGGGGAGGGGCAGAGAGGGAGGAAGACAGAGAGTCCAGAGAGGCTTCAGACTCTGAGCTGTCAGCATAGAGCCTGACGTGGGACTCAAACTCACAAATCATGAGATCATGACCTGAGCCCAAGTTGAACGTAACCGACGGAGCCACCCAGGTGCCCCTATTTCAAGTATTTAAACGCAGCATGCAGTCAAAACGAGCAGGAGTACACGATATGACCCGTTTCTCTCTAGCCCACGAGCCACAATCCTTATTGAGAGAATTTCCTCTAATTGTATTACTTTTCATCCCTGTTCATGCTTCACTTTGTAAACCTCACTGTTCTGGACTGATGTGGGAGATTACTCATTTGAGTTTAATAATGCAATAGCTGCCTGCTGTCGAAACAACATAAATGTACCTTTGGTTACCCTACTATTATGATTGTGACACTAAGGTGTATTTTGTCATGAGGAGAAAATTTTTTAAAAAACATAAAGCCATCTCTTTTCTAAAGGGAAAATTTTTTTTCTAAAGGAAAAAGGGTTTAAATTGTGACATTGCCCTGTTAAATTTTTTCTTTATTTATTTTTGAGAAAGAGACAGAGTGTGTGTGTGAGCAGGGGAGGAACAGAGAGGGAGGGACACACAATCCGAAGCAGGCTCCAGGCTCTGAGCTGTCAGTACAGAGCCTGATGCAGGGCTCGAACCCACGAATGGTGAGATCATGACCTAAGCTTAAGTCCGACGCTTAACCAATTGAACCTCCCAGGCACCCCTGTGACATTCCCCTTTAATTAGTGGCAGGAGGGGCACCTGGGTGGCTCAGTCAGTTGAGCATATGCAGGTTTGTGAGTTTGAGCTCCACATTGGGCTCTGTGCTCATAGTTCAGAGCCTGGAGCCTGCTTCAGATTCTCTCTCTCTCTCTCTCTCTCTCTCTCTCTCTCTCTCTCTCTCCCTCTCCCTCCCTCCCTCTCTCTTTC